ACATTACCTTTATGCACTTTATCTGTAACCAAAATAACTATGAAAATATATCACACTTACATTACCTTTATGCACTTTATCTGTAACCAAAATAACTATGAAAATATATCACACTTACAATACCTTTATGCACTTTATCTGTAACCAAAATAACTATGAAAATATATCACACTTACATCCCATTTTCGGGATTCGTCATCAGGGCTAACAAATAACGAATGGACACATAAATACGTTTAGAAATAAAACCAAGACTGCTTAACGTGAACAGAATAGTATTAGTGACTTTAAATCAAAGAAATGGCGACTAAAAATCAAAATAAAACTTTATTTAAAGGCTCGAAAACTTCATTAAAAACAGCACTACGTGTCTCGACCTTTTAATATGAAATGTTGTTTTAAACAAAGTTTTCAACCTTGTAATATTTAGTGTTGTCATCTATTAGATTTTCGACTTTGTAACATGTAGTGTTGTTTTAATCAAGTTTTTAATCTTTAAGTAAAGTTTTATTGATTTAAAAAATAAAATCGTTGTTTTTCTGATATTAAATTACCATAATCACAAGTCCAGAGAAGATTCTTCTATTCAAGCAGGATTAATATTTTCTGACAGGTGTCATAGAGTTGTCGTCTTTTCCAAAGTTGAGGATTACTTTTTTCTGATAAGTATGATAAATTTGTTACTTTGTTCCAAAACTGAGAAATTTTTTTCTGACATGTTTGCTAATTGTGTATCTCCGTGTAAAAGCTGAGAATTGTTACTTTCTGATATGTTTTCCTTAGTAAATACTTTTTTTTCAAAGCTGAACGATTTCTTACATCTATATCTGAGTTTAGTTTGAAGTTCGCGCAATACTACACGAGGGCTATCTGCGTTAGCCGTCCCTAATTTAGCAATGAAAGACTACAGGGAAGTCAGCTCTAGTCTAGTCATCACCACCCACCGCCAACATTTGGGCGATTCTTTTACTGTCACATTATAATACCTCCACGGCTGAAAGGGCGAGCATGTTTGGTGGAACGGGGATTTGAACCCGCGACCCACAGATTGCGAGTCGAGCGCCTTAACCACCTGGCCATGCCAAACCCTACACACCTGAGATTGGAGATTTCTGTTGTTATACCAAGACCTGCCCCTTCCTTTCAGCAACAAAAAGAGATTAATTTAACATCTGATCTGTTTCTTATTCTTGAAATCTGAGGGAAAATGCCTTTTGATTTTTACAAGTTCTACATTGATATTTTAATTGAAAAAAAAATATTGTTTTCAGTTACTTAATAGATGTGTAAACTCATTTGTTAGGTATAACTCATTGACAGGTTACTTGTAATACCGCACTCAACATTTTGTGATCTTGAATTCAGAACTAGTGTTTAATCTGTATCGTTAAGACGTGGTTCATAAACTATTATCACTCATACCCTTCATGGCCCATAACCAGGAGCGTCACTAGGTGTTTAAAAGATTCGTGGTTCGGGCCAATAGGCGCGGGAATTTTCAGCGTTTCAGTATGATATCGATCATGATTTTCTCTTCTGATTTTTCAAAATACCAACTGGGGATTCGGAGCACTGTCAAATAAAATCGAGGCAGGGCCCCGTGTGCCGTTGCAGAGCTTAGCAACGCCTTTGCTCATAACTAATATTAACAAACAGAAATAGATATGAAGTACCATGGATTTTGGTTCCCTTAGCAAGACAAAACATACCAGGACTTGGTGTATTTTTAATTATAACATAACTGTTTTATTTGCATTAAAAGCCTTAGGGTTATATTCTCGTAAGGAATACAATATATTAAGTGTTTCTTTCAGCGTTTAGTTCTTTAATTATGATACTTCTTACACCAGTGATAGTTAGGGTTCAATAATAAGGTAATAGGAGTCGACTGAGATTTTAAATTAGCGTTGATGGCGGAGTTTTTTTTATTCTAGTCAAAAATACAGTACTTACGTACCGATGGAGCGATAGAATAGTAAAAGTCGACTGAGATTTTAAGTCATTGTTGGCGGTGCAGTACCGTTATCCTGGTCAGAAATATAATAAAATGGTTAAAACTCGCTTGTGTTATTTATTATATGAAAAGTTTCTGTTAACATGCACAAATCTGTAGTTGTCTACTGCGTTTAAATAGCAAACGACTCTGACATACAGAACTAGGAACTACTAAGAAGGAACTTTTCTGTTTTACAGAACTAGTTGGCCACCAGATGACACTAGAATTCCAGGATCTTCACATTGGTGCCTATACTCCTTCTGGTATACCTGTTTATTCTCCACAGAGCCAGGCTAGAGATGTTCCTAACTTTGTTGGCCATATGCAACAGTTGGTATTCAACGGAGATCAGTATTTTGAGATGGCTAGAACTGGACAGCTTATTAATTTTCAGGTTTGAAAACTTGGAATCCTTATACAGTAGATAGTCTAAATATCTGAAGTTTGGAACGTATTGGTTGTAGCACGTTTAGTTTTATTTTGACGAAAATAATCATTAATTAATAAAACACTTTGACACTAAAGTGACAAATTACCGACTTATTTTTATATCGTTCACTACCGATGAGGGCCACATATTGTATTATTTTAAATAATTTTATACTTTTACTAATTACAACACATTGTTTAAAAATGACCAAAGAAATTGAGTAAAACCTCTCATTTTCAACATATAATACCGTATAGGCGATCCCAGCAGTAATTGGTAGGATTATGTTTTATATAAAGTACTGTATAGGCGATCCCAGTAGTAATTAGTGGTATTATTTTTAATGTAAGATACCGTATCGGCGATCTCAATAGTAATTAGTAAGATTATTTTCAATATAAAATACCGTATAGGCGATCTCAATAGTAATTAGTAAGATTATTTTCAATATAAAATACCGTATAGGCGATCTCAGTAGTAACTACTTGGATTATTTTTAATATAATGTCCCGTATAGGCGATCCTAATAGTAATTAGTGGAATTATTTTTAATATAAAATACCGTATAGGCGAGCCAAGTAGTAATTAGTGGGATTATTTTCAATATAAAATACCTTATAGGCGATCCCAGTAGTAATTAGTGGGATTATTTTTAATATAAAGTGCCATATAGACGATCCCAGTAGTAATTAGTTCGATTATTTTTAATATAAAATACCGTATAGGCGAACCAAGTATTAAGTAGTGGGATTATTTTAAATTTAAAATACCGGATAGACGATCCCAGTAGTAATTAGTGGGACTATTTTAAATATAAAATACCGTATAAGTGATCCCAGTTGTAATTAGTGGGATTGTTTTTAATATAAAGTGCCATATAGGCGATCTAAATAGTAATTAGTGGAACTATTTTTAATATAAAATACCGTATAGGCGATCCAAGTATTAATTAGTGGGATTATTTTCAATATAAAATACCGTATAGGCGATCCCAGTAGTAATTAGTGGGATTATTTTTAATATAAAGTGCCATATAGGCGATCTAAATAGTAATTAGTGGAACTATTTTTAATATAAAATACCGTATAGGCGATCCAAGTATTAATTAGTGGGATTATTTTCAATATAAAATACCGTATAGGCGATCCCAGTAGTAATTAGTGGGATTATTTTTAATATAAAGTACTGTATAGGTGATCCAAGTATTAATTAGCGGGATTATTTCCAATACTGATGATATTTTTCTTTACATTTCTTTTCTAGACTCATAAGGATTCTGTAACCAACAAAGTCATGCGCTAATAAGAAATTTGGTGCATAAATAGTTTAGAAAAATGTGTTTCAAAAATTGATAGTACTAGTAGCAAAGTCTTCCTGTGTGAATATTTATTTATTTATGAAGTTAGGATTTTTATTCGCTACGTAAAACCGGAGAAATTGTGAACGTCAGAACTTGTAGTCGAAAAGCAATATGACACTTTTGTTATCATTAAAGTGGTATAAACTTTAAGTTATTCTTTTTTACCCAATACATGTAATTCAAAACATACCGCCCAACAATAGGAACCGTTACAACAATACGAAGAATTACATAGAGTTGATGTTTGTCATTGTCTTGTACTGTCTTTTGACTTTGAAATTGTCAGGATATTTTAGATAAAAATTAAAATAATATAATATTTTGTCAATATTACAGGTGACAGCTAAGTTTGGAAAGAAAGAACAGATTGTTCATCATCCCGTCACATTTAAATCTAAGTATACATTTTTAGGAATTTCTCAGTTGAAGGCTTATTCTACCATGAACTTATATTTCCAGTTTAAGACACTAGAACCAAACGGTCTGATTATTTACAACAATGGTAAAGAGCAAGACTTTATTGCTATAGAGCTAGTAGACGGACATCTTGACTACATCTTTAACTTAGGAGATGGCCCCAGAAAAGTGAGGTCAAACACAAGGCGCACATTGAACGACAATAGGTGGCATGCGGTAACCATTGGTCGCCAGTCTTTACGTCAACATACCTTAATGGTCGATGACATGATCTCCACAGTGACCAGTACGGGGTCCAATGTTCATCTGGATTTACATGGACTTCTGTACCTTGGTGGAGTAAGAAGAAACATGTACAACAGCCTTCCCAAGTTGGTACAGTCGAAACATGGATTCGAGGGATGCTTGGCTTCCTTGGATCTGAACGGGGAAACTGTGGATCCTATTGCTGACGCCATTATTCCCAGTACTCTGGTGTCAGATGGGTGCGCTGGTTAGTATGACAACTCTTGAGAATAAATCGTTATTTCTGTCTGAAAGAGATAAAAATTTATTGAAAAAAATATATGATGTATCGACATACGTAAAGCAAGGGAGAAATAAAGTGCTGATTAATTAATTCACTTTTAAAATCTATCTTGGAGAACAATATGCTACATTTTTTATTAACTAGCAGAGACTCTCAAAATATTTGCAATCAGTTTAGTATCGTTATTGCAACAGTACTTCTTTAAATACAGGATTTCTAGAATAATATAAAAGAACTCTAATCGCAGACACCAAAATCTGAGGCCACTTGTCTTAGGCCTAACATTAGTTAAGCCTTTATTAAGTACTTATTTAATCTTTATTACAGCAGCACTTCTTTAAATACAGGATTTCTAGAAGAATACAAAATAATTATAATCGCAGACACCCGAAATCTAGAAGTCCACTTGTCTTAGGCCTAACATTAGTTAAGCCTTTATTAAGTACTTATTTAATCTTTATTACAGCAGCACTTCTTTAAATACAGGATTTCTAGAAGAATACAAAATAACTATAATCGCAGACACCGAAATCTCGAAGTCCACTAGTCTTAGTCCTAACTTTAGTTAAGCCTTTTTTAAGTACAGGCTATTTTCAAAAAAGAGACAAATTAACCCTAACTTGGGCATTTTTTTTTTTTTTTTTTTTTTT